ATATATATATATATATTGTATTATTTTTGTGTTTACTAATATTTGTATGTTTGTTTTAATATTTTTTTAGGTTACGGAGTTGGACCATAATCATCAAGAAATGACCGAAAAACAAGCACAAACGGTTGAAATCATGAGACGCATAGGTAATACCCCTCCCAACAATCCATCCAATCACCGAATGCGTTTTAGGTTATTTTAGTAAATATTTGTATATTTTTTAGACATTTTTATTATGTTTGGTGGTTTAGACGATTGTTAAAAGTTATGTTGTAATTTATAATATTTATATTTAGATTTATTGTTTTTGTGTATAAATTTCAAATAGAATTTGTTCATTTGTATTAAAAAACTTGCATTTTCGTCAATAAAATTTTGAAACATTTTAATTTTTTTGTAAAGTTGCACATTTCCTAGGAAATTCCTAGGGCCTCTCTGTTACCACAATGTCACGAAATTCTTCGGAAATATATGGTCATTGTAAATTTATCGGAAATATATTTTCTAGGAAATTTCTTGGAAAAACATTTCCTAAGAAATTCATCGGAAATATATTTCCTATGAATTTTCTCCGAAATGTATTTCCTAGGAAACATTTCCTAAGAAATTCTTCGGAAATATAGTTCCTAGAAAACTTTTTGGAAAAATATAGTCTCGAAAATTTCTCTTAACTTCTGATAACACATATCTCCTCGGAAATGCCTCTGAGTTTTCCTCGAAAATCTCTCACAAAAAGTTTCCTATGAGGGTTTTTGCTACGCACAAAATTTCATTGGTATTTCTTCGGAAACATTGTTACCTTGGAATTTCTGAGCAAATTTTACTTTGGAAAAGACGTGATTATTTTAGTACACTACAAGAAATTAGAGTATTACCGGCGACAGGCGTCGTCGCTAAAACGTCGATGCTGATGTTTTGTCGCTATTAATCAAACTGTCGCCGCTAATTCTTGTTGTCATCACTAAAGACCTGTTGCCGCTAATTCACTTTTAGTATAGTAGTGAAGTGTTTCGTTTGGACTTAATCTCAAGGAGAACAATTTAATGTCTTAAGCCAAAAAAATTTAATAAAAAAAATAGAAAATTAAAAAATAAAAAACATACCTAGTTTACTATATTAGTACATTAACCCTTTACCTAGTTTACTATATTAGTACATTAACCCTTTACCTATTTTGGCATTTTTTTTCTCTACTTAATCTTAACTCTTCTTATTTTTAAATTGATAAATATCGTTTAAAATTTATTAATATCAAGTTTTTATGAAATATAAGAGTAAAATACGGTTCATACATCATAGAAAAGAAAAATACACACCTTATGTGCAAAACATATAATCCAAACTCGTTCCCAATTCCGTCACTTTACACCTATTTTTACACGTACAAAACTTAACCAAAAAAAAAGAAGCAAAATCATGTTATGGTTAAGTAAAAAACATCAAAATAGGATCAAGTAGAAGCACGAATAATAAATAATGATAGTATTATATAGACCAATGGATTTAACAGATTCACACAATTTATTAGAGAATTCAATCGGTTGCATGTTCATGAGTACCCAGAACCACCGGCAAAACAACATAAAATCTGTACTTGCAGTAGCCACGGCAGTTCTGGATTTAAAAACCACCCAATTATCACCACCAACATGTCCATTTTTTATGTGTTTTCTACAATGTAATGTCTGCAAATATGCAGCAAGATTCGATTGGATGATCTATTGCATGCTATAACCATTTGTTTATGAACAAGCATTTACATGATCTGGATAACCAGTGTGTATGCATAAATGCACATGCATGTTTGATTATTTAACTATTTGTCAATGTTTGAATGTGCATTTACAGAAAGTTGTGGTTGTATCTGGGTATTGGGTGTTTGGTAGAATTTGCTATTATATTGTTTGTAATATATAGTGACAAACTAAGTGTTGGATTCACATTAATAACGAAAAGAAAAATATGGAATACGAATTGAGCTGAGAGTATCATATGGGAAAATATATTTAAGTATAAAGTTATAAATTAAGATTTTTATGTTATATTGAGTAAATACTATTTAAAAAATCTAGCTAAATAAATAAAAGTACAATTTGAATATCTTATTAGACACAAGAGAGTGGTTGTGCTTCTACCGCACTTTTGTCACGGTGTCAAAGAGGAACATCGACTCCACCCTGCAGTTTCGGGTACGGTTTGGCCACACATGGTAAGATCTCACCACACCTTCTCTCTCTTCTTTTACTATCTTTTTCTTCCCCTAGACCTTGAACGGTCAAGTAT